GGAGGAAAAGGAATGAGATTACAGTCCTTGCGTTCCGCCATTTTGATGATGCATCCATGCTCAACTATCCCAAGCAGATGACTTTGTATAAATGATTTGATGAATTATTCGGCCATTTCTCAGGTGATGTTTGTTTTAATTTGGCTTTTGTTGTGTTTGCATTGTGCGCGAATCAAAAGCGCGGCGACCTGGGACAGGTCCGTACAACCGGAGTGTACCATTTCAATGGGCACGTGGAATTTTCCAAATTTCAAACCGGAATTTTTTGCTGAATGAAAAGCGCCCAGCTTTTGTTACCCTGTGCACTCTTATATCTAGGGCTTTTCCCTTGTAGATTGTGGTCAAAAATTCTCTTGGCAATTGCTACTTCATGTTCATATTCAGATTCGTATTTCTTTCCTTTTTTTAGGAGTCACCGCTCCGACACCCTCCCAAGCCGCGGCTGTTTGTTGCCGCTTGGGAGCCTGGAGACTACTGCTAGTGGAATCAGGCCGTCGAGATCTGGAGCGGAGAATTCGTTTGAATGTTAATCAAGATGATGTACTGTATGCTCTCCAAAAGAAACGCACGTGACAGTCACGTGTTCAAGTCAAACGCATACTCAGACTCTCTTGGATATATACACAAATTCCCATTACACGGAACAATTGGAAGAGTTGAAAAGACAAGTTTTTGCTATTTTTATATTAGATATGTATTTTCTATTCTCATTACGTGATATGTATTACCTTGGAATCGATTGGTTTTCAATCCACGTTATATATAACCACTTTTTAAAGACATGTTAGGCGTTATAAATGAAGATTTGAATAAATGAATTTTATTTTTATACCGTTAATGTATATATAAGATGTATGAGTGAATACGATTTTTGACAAGGGCATTTAATCCGCGAGAAGGAAGTATGAGTGGAGGAGAGGTCATTGCCTCCCAGGTCAGAAAATGTTCAGGAAAAAAATTGTTTAAAGTTAGGGAAAAGTCATAAATTTATTTCGAGGAAAGAAGAATTTGAGACAAATTATGTGGTAGTGATATTAGTTTACCACAGTGTAGCAAGACCTGTCCTGCTGCTAAAGAAATGCAAAAGCTTTCGTTTCGAGCGCTTCCCTTGGGCAGACAAAGGGCCATGAATGGTCGAATGCTTATTATTTCGTATCGTTGCATCTTAAGGAGTTCGTGTTACAGTGAAATTCCGATAACGACGTTGCCTTTAAACGACAACAAAAGATAGATGAAATGAGGAAAAATGTCACAAAGTTGGTTTGAAACTGTAACAGGGACGAAGACCGCGAAGCGCAAATACGCACAGGAATATGGGACAGGAATATATGACCCGCCAAACCAATGGGAGTGGATTGGGCCTTAAGCCAGGAAATCTGGAATCCTGGGTTTTGGAATCTGGAATACAGCTCAAAGAATTGAGGTCCAAGTTCCATTGACAAATAATCCTGAATCCAGTATGTGTACCTGAGTTCGGAATCAACGGTGTCAGAATCTAAGACTTCTTGAATTTCCTTACATGGGCGATAGTTTTAATAGGTGAGAAGATCGACTGTTTTGACGTATGAACGAAAGGCCGTTTCGTGTTGAAATCAATCAATCAATAAATAAATGCGGTTTCAAAAATATCCGGATATGAGTAGACGTGGCCATACTTTCCTCAATACGCGAAACGATAGGTTGTGGAAGTCAGACCAGAGCGGGTCTGAAAGGAATGTAACGTCAACATATCTTTCAATTGAGGCTAAATTTCTCATTTCATATGCAAGTCAGTTGTTTACTTCTCAATTGTTTCCTCACACCTGGTGCCCCATAGTTATGTCCCTATAGCTTTTAAGGTTTTACATTTCACCGTGAATTACGTAGGCGATTGGTCTCTAGGGCAATAAAACAATAATTCAAACAAGAATATTCGGTTGATGACATTGTCAGGTTTAAGAGTTCTCTGAGACAGTCAGTAGCAGTATATGTGTTTATGATTGAGTGAAATAGTTTCATCTGGTGATCTTCAAGGCTTTTCTCGCGAGCAGTCACAAAATGATCACCAACCGTGGGAACACAGAACTGAAGCGAAAAGCGGCTAGGCAAACAACGTTTCAGAATCCTGCGGAATCGCTTCGAATAAAGTGTCTTTCTCGCGGGGCAAACGGAATAATGGGATTAGGAAGGTACGTGTGTTCATGAGATATTTCTCCTTCAGTCATTACTTTTTAGCTCTGTTATATTTATGGGTTGAATCGACGGACCATAACATTTAACGATATATAATAGCTATCTTTTTCACCCTACCAGTCTTTTCCAAGCGTTAATTTTTACTAGAGATCTAACAGAATGTATGAACTCGCGAAAGCGTTGTAAACTTAAAAGTGATGGCATAAGAAAGAAAAAGTTCTGACTTCATCACTCACGAGTTTTTGCACTTTAAATCTATTTGTCGGTGAACAAATCTGTGCCATTATT